GCAATCCCTTCTCCTTCATTCTCCTCTCAGGATCTTGGACACGCACGCACACACTCCCGGCGTGAGTTTTAAGCCACCAGGTCCGGGACATGAACTGCGGTCGACTATGTGGGAGTCCAGCGACATAGCCATTACGCTAACTGCTGGTTCCCTATTTTGAGTCTCAAGAGAAGTGGTGAACATATGCTTTTTATGAACTTCAGTGCTCCACACAACTAAAGAGAGGGAAAAAATGTTGCCAAGATTGAGCTTAATTTGGTGTGTGCAGATTTTTCATAGATTGGGTTACATATTATACATGAGTCCTGCTCGTCATCTTTGCCTTTTGTCCACATTTGAGATGAATAATTGTCATGCAACTTAAAGTTTGTAAAGGATATTTTAGGGTCTCTGGTTTTAGGAGCATCTGCAGCTGAAAAACTGGTTTCTATTATGTTTAGTATCCAGATCTTGAAACTTCATTTTTTTTTTTTTTTTTTTTTTACATTAGAGGTAAGTCAAAGGGCTCTCTATCTTTTTAAAGCAGTACTCTTTGTTAAATTCTTTTTTTTTTGGAGAGGTTTTTGCTCTACGGCGCGTGCGCTCACCAGACAGAGAGAGACGGAGAGACAAAAAGCAGGAAATAACCCCTCAGGGGGGATGGCCATGCCGCAATCCCTTCTTCATTCTCCTCTCGGGATCTTGGGCACGCACGCACACGCGCCTGGTGTGAGTTTTAAGCCACCGGGTCCGGGACGCAAACTGCGATCAACTACATGGAAGTCCAGCGACATAGCCATTACACTAACTGCTGGTTCCCAAGTTTTTTATTAAATTATATTATTAAGAGAGAGTTTAAGCCACCGGGTCTGGGACTTGAACCACGGTCGACTATGTGGAAGTCCAGCGATATAGCCATTATGCTAACTGCTGGCCCCTCTTTGTTAAATTCTTAATAGTTTTCCTTTGAGTGTTTTGATTGCTCAAAGCAACATGGTCATTTTATTTACAGAATTATGATAAGAAAACTTTCTTTGTAGAAGCTTTTTCCTGTGAGTAAGCAGAGAATCCATAGGTGTTTCTCACAAGGATATCCTGGTTGGCTCCAGTTGACTTTGCAACCTGAATATCAAAAACTTTGAATTGACAAGCCTGTGGTGTGGTAGTTAAGGTGACTGGATTCCACAGGCTGACCGCACAGCTTGAGTTCTAGATCCAGTGCTTGAGAAACATGGCAGAAACCTCTGTGTGTGCCAAAATCCTAAGAGGAGAACTGAGTAGGAGGGATTGCAGTGTAGCCATCCCTTGGGGTATGCTTTGACATGTTTTTTCTCTTTCTCTCTCTGTTCCTGGCTAGTGCACGTGTCCTGTGACAAATTTAAAAAAAAAAAAAAATAAAAAAAGCTTTGAATTGCCCATGAAATACAAGAGAAGTGGCTAAACTTCCTAAACTTTTTTAGGTAGTCTATGAACCTATCTTAAGAATGGGTTTATTTTTTTGAAGAAAAAAGTATGTGCTCTTACATGTCATTGTTTTTGAAGAAACTACATATTATTGAATAAAAAGAACAAAACAAGAGAAATCTTACCTCTGTGCTCTATAAAATAATATGTGAATGGCCCAGAGTTTGTTTTAGGGGATAGATAAGAGGGTCTCGACTCTTACGATAGCTTAGCATGATTATGGCATTTGTTATGATGACCCTGCATTACCAAGAAAAGCTTAAATTATATTTAGTAAGTTGTACTTATGAAAGCAAGGGAATTATTTGTTTTCCAATTTCTATTTGAACTTATTTGCCCTTAAGAGGTAGGCGCATTACTTTATTTGGAAATGTGTCCTATTAGCTCACACCTTCTATACTGCATTGCTCTGAGTGAGGTGAATGATTTGGATAGAAGGGAGCAGAATGGAATATACAAGTGTTCAGATAAACCAGAAACTCAGAAGGAGAGGCAGGGCTATAGTACACCTGTTTAAAGTCCATGCGTTGAAGTAGAAGACCTGTTATGGATCTCTATGTATTAGATCTGTCTTTTACATTACATATAAAAGTGGGAATTTTTTGTCTGAAGTAAAAGGGGGAACTAAACAAATGTCTTAGAGGCTTAAAAATATATTCTATGAAGATTTTCTTTTTTTTTTTTTTTTTGAGAGGCTTTTGCTATAGGGCGCGTGCGCTCGCCAGACAGACAGAGAGAGACATAGAGACAGAAAGCAAGAAATCACCCCCCAGGGGGGATGGTCACGCTGCAATCCCTTCTCCTCCATTCTCCTCTCAGGATCTTGGGCACACACGCACATGTGCCCGGTGTGAGTTTTAAGCCACCGGGTCCGGGACGTGAACCGTGGTCGACTACGTGGGAGTCCAGCAACATAGCCATTACGCTAACTGCTGGTTCCCAAGATTTTCTTCCATTTACATTATAGAGAGGGTTTTGTTCAATTTACTGTCCGTAAAGGTGCAGTGAGTGACACTGGCTGTGTAATACAAAAACCGAACAATAGTCACCTGCATATAATTGTGCTGTGATGTTTAAAAGTCAAATAGGCGCATCTAAAAGTGTATAAAGTTTGCGAATGTGGAAGTACTTCTTGGTAGGTTTTTATTTTTCCTATTTTTCAAAATTAAAAAAAAAAAGGTCTTACAAAAAATATATACTGTATAGGGCCAGTCAGAGGTACGTAAGGCAACTGGATCCCACATGGCCAACTGTGTGGTTCAAGTCGCTGACCAAGCAACTTGAAAAGCATGCTAGGCATGTGTTCCTGTGTATCCGAAATTCCAAGAGGAGGGAGAGATGGAAATTGCAGTTTAACCATGCCTTATGGGGGATATTTGCTCTCTTCTCACCCCACCTTGTCTATCTCTCCAGTAAGTGCACATACCCTCTGGCAAATTAAAAAGAAATGAAATGCTTATTCACATATTAAAGCATATATTTGTATTTATTTAATTATTTCATGAGATTTAGAAGATAAGTACTCTCAGCAGTCACAGGTCTCTATCGTCCCTCAGAGACCCACAGGTCTCTATCTGTCTGTCACACAGGCATGTGCCTTCCAGGTAAGGCGAACCTTGGTAACCAAACCCTGACCTTTCCTATGGCTTCCAGTATTACAGAGCATTGAATCATGCAGCAGGGTCAAGGCACATCTTGGTTTGCTATTGAAAGGGAGGAAATCGTTATTCTCCAGTGTTTTGAAAAAGTTTCAGATATGGAATAGTGTGTAAAATTTTGTTTTGAAGGAATTTTTTTCTTGCTTGCTTAACATAAGAAAGAAGTGGGAAAGCCCTTTGTTTTATTTTTTTTAAAGAATCATTTTATTTTTAATTATTTTATTATTTATTATCATTATTTATTTATTATTTTAATTATTTATTTATTTACTTATTTATTTTAATTTGACCAGAGAGAGACAGAGTGAGAGAGAGAGAAAGAGAGAGGGAAAGTGATAAAGCAAGTCACCAAGTCCGGGACTTAAACCATGGCTGGCCACATGGGAGTCCAGTGCCCTTGACCACTGCACCACCTGCTGGCCCAGCCATTTGCTTTAAAACTGTGGAGCTGTTGATTGGTCTCAACAAGCATGGTGTTTTTTGATTCACTGATAGAAGAAGAAACAAAAAAGTTCTCTTTCCACATGTGTAGTGGGTATTTCTAAAATACAGACCTACATAATTTTCTATTCTTCCCTCTGTATGTGTTTCTCAGTGATACTTGCATTTGAGCCATTATGGAAATCCATGTCTATAAAAATCTTACCTTTTCTCTGGACCTCACTTCTGTGTTTCAGGTGGGCCAGCCATGAAAGGGTACCTTGTGGCCATTTTCCTGAGTGCTGTCTTCCTCTATTATGTGCTGCACTGTATACTATGGGGAACAAACGTCTATTGGTAAGTTTCAATTTGCTATTATTAATTTATTTCTAATAATTAATTTAATTTATTATTATTATTATTATTGTTTTAATTTGATGAGAGAGAGAGAGAAGGAGAAAGTGAGAAAGCAAGATGCCAGGTCTGAGACTCAAATTGTGGTCAGACATGTGGGAGTCCAGCTCCTTAACTACCATGCTGCCTACCAACCCCTTATTTTGCTATTTAAAAATAGCTTGTGGCAGGAGGCATAATAATTAAGGTCCTGGACTTCCACGTGGCTCACTGTAGTTTGAGTCCTGGACCCAGTGGCTTGAAACATGCTGGGCATGTGCATGCATACCCAAAATCCCAAGAAGAAAATGGAGAAGAGATTGCAGTGTGGCCATCCATTCCAGGGGGTGATTTCTTGCTTTCTGTCTCTCTGGCAAGCTCACATGCCTCATAGCAAAAATCTCTCAAGAAAAAGCTCCCAAACTAGTCTTTCAGACACAAATTATATTAAAGGGACTGACTTAAAAAAAATCATTGTAGTTAGTTGAATTCTTCTACCGTTCTATTATAAACTGAGGTTTTACTGTTCTAGAAACCTATGCCTTCTACCTCTAAAATCTTGAAAACCAATAATCAACCCCTTCTTTATATTATTTTCCAGTAAAGTGGTGATATTTTCCATCTTTGGGATAAAATGTTATTTGTATAATAGTTCATCTTTGTGAGTAAATGGAATGATTTTTAAACTCAGTGTGATATTTGACGTTTAGAGCCTAAAATGCTTAGGTAAGGGCTTAAAAAATTTTTTTAAGTGATTTTTGCTATAGGGTGTGTGTGCTCGCCAGAGTGACAGAGTGACAGAAGGTGAGAAATCACCCTCTCGGGGAATGCTACACCATAGTTTCTTGTCCTCCATTCTCCTCACGGGATTTTGGATAGGCACACACATGTGCCTTATGTAATTTTCAAGGCACCAGGTTCAGGACTTGAACCACTTGGTTGGCCAAGTGGGAGTCCAGCGCCTTACCACTGTGCCACCTGCTGGCCCCAAATAAAGGATATTATGAGCAGCCTGTAACCTGGTGGTTAATGCAGCTATATCAAATATGGCTGATCTCTAGGTTATAGTCCAGGCCTGGTGGCTTGAGAAACATGTTGAGTGCATGTACATGTGTGCCCAAAATCTCAAAAGGAAGAGAAGATGGGAGAGAAGGGATTGCAACATGACCATGGCCCATGGGAGTACTTTCTCACTTTCCTTCTTGCTCTCTGTCTTTCTCTGGGAAGCATATGCATCTTCTAGCAAAATTGAAAAAAAAATAAAAATTAAAAGGGAATCAATGCTTCTCTCTTTAATTTAACCACTGGTCGAATGAAAAATAATCATAATGTTTTTCATGAGAGGAAGGCAACTTGCCATTGGAAAAACAACAAAACAAAATACAACAAAACCTAGTGCCAGGTATTTCAGGCTGTTGGCCTATGTAGTGAGCTAGAAAGGTCTGAAGCCTGATTATACACCAAATGGGGCTTACACCCCACAGCTTTATCCCTCCATCTCTGCCACATCCTGTCTCTGTCTCATACTTACTAGTGGGAGACCAAAACATAAGAGAAAGCAGAAAGCCTACTGGAACGCTGCTTATCTACAAATCCTGTTGTTGGTCACAGGGAAAATGACAAGATAATAGAAGGATCTCTGAGTTCACCACAGTCTTTTGTCTTCAGGATTTGAGGAGTGCGTACATTACTCCTAAGCTAACACTTTACTGCAGTCACAGAAATACTGTGGGACATTACCCCAGTGGGTGCACATGCAGTCAGCTTGCTTCCTTAACACTGTTCAAGGCACGTAACTGAGAGAGAGTAGTAGAAAGCCCCCTCCCCCCCAACACCCAATGGGCATGGTCACCCCATACTACCCTTTTCTCCGTTTCTCCATCCTGTCAGGATTTGGGGCACATGTGTACACAAACCCGGTGTGTTTTTTTAAGCTGAAGGGGCTGGGACTCCAACTGTGGTTGGCCTTGTGGGTTTTGGCTACCTTAACTACTAGGCTACAGGGAAGGCCCTGGCTGGTGTTTACAAAGACAATTATCTGGCAGCTCTGAAACCTAGTGGTTGAGGGAACTGGATCCCACATGGCCAACCAGGGTTTGAGTTTTCACTTGTGGGGCTTGAGAAACATGTTGAGTGTGTGTGCACGTATAGCCAAATCTCAACAGGATGGAGAAATGGAGGGAAAAGGATTTGTACACCTATTGTGGGGTACCTTTCTCTTCTTTCTCTCTCTCTCTATTTGGCAAGCACACATATTTGCCCTCTGATAATTAAAAAAGAATAAAAACTACCCAAAGTTTGACTTCATAATATCCTAAAACAGTTTGATTCTTGTGTCTTAAAGACCTAATAAGTTAAATATCTCACTCCTCATTTTGTCCTCTGAATATAATTCAGCTTTATAGCCAGATGTGGTGGTCTCCTATATATTTTTTTTACATATAAATCAAGGAATCCTTGTCATTTGTGGTATTCACAAAATAAATTTCCCTGATGAAAACTTTTCTTGCCTCATAGTTCAGAAACCTGTCAGTTCTAATTTGGGTTTTGTCAAAAGAAAAAAAATTGAAAATAGTATTTATCCATGAAGGTTTGGATGCTTTCCTTCAGTTTGAATCTTGTGATTATAGGAGAAATAAATTCGTTTTCTCTTTATATTACTTCTTCATATAATTGATAATTATTAATAGGTTCTTGTTTGTCTGTTTTTTGAGAGTTTTTTTTCTATGGAGTGGGCACTCATGAGAAAGAGAGAGATGAGAGACAGAGAGACGGAAAGTGAGAAATCCCCCCCAAGGGGGGATGGCCACACTGCAGTTTTTTCTCTTCCATTCTCCTCTTGGGATCTTGAGCATGTAAGCACACATGCCTGGCATGAGTTTAAGCCACCAGGTTCGGGACTTGAACCTCAGTCAACTTTATGGGAGTCCAGCGACATAGCCTTTACGCTAACTGCTGGTCCCAGTAGGTTCTTGTATTAAGCAGTTTCTTTTTTCCTGGCTAAGTCTGGACCCACCCTCCCCCCGCCCCCTTTCTCCAACTTCATTTTTTTGCTGCTGTTGTGCTCTGTCATGTTTCACAATACCCCTTTAAATTGTGGAGACAAGTCCTCCATTCAGGAGACACACAGGGGCCTAATCCATGCCAAGAATAGAAGAAAGTTAGATACAACTAAAAATACTCTAATCTGGGGCTGGCAGGTGGAGAGGTGGTTAGGGCACTGAACTCCCATACAGCTGACCACAGATCAAGTCCCAGACCTGGCAGCTTGTTTCTTTCACTTTCCTTGTCTCTCTCGGGTCAAATTTTTAAAAGAGGGTAGAGTGTGATTTCAGTCCTCAGAGTCCCCATGCAAGGGTCTAAGGAGCCTGCTCAGACTGGGTGTTTCTGCAGTGTTTGCTGCTGATTGTCCCCGTATGTGACTGGAGAACCTAGATAACTGCGAATATGTGGAGTGAGTTTGATTTCTCAGGCTCTCAGGGGCTTCTCAGAAATGAGGCTAGTTGTTTTCGCCACGTGCTAAACCTAGCTCTTTTCTGAGGGTCCTTTCAATCACTTCCAGGTACTCAGTCACCTCAGCCTTTTCCATAGCCCCCTTGCCTTAATCTGGAAGCATGTATAGGACTTGGAGAACGGGGGTCAAACCTCAGGGGCTTTTGGGAGGACTTTCCATTCCCTTCCAGAAGGCTCTTGGGGTGGCGCTGAGGGGGTTCCAGGACCTTTGTTTCCCTCAGAATGGGCCTGATTCTTGTCTCTGACTGACACTATTTTTGTCTCATAGGGTACCACCTCTGGAAATGCAACAAAGAAATAAGATCCAGTCTTGTTTATCAAAGCCAGCTTTTGCCTCGCTCCTGAGGTAAAAATACACAAAACACTGTGGCATACAAAATGTTAAAAATTTGTTTGTAATCACTTTCCACACTTGTTTATCTTTTTTCATACAAGTCTTAGCAATATAAAGTGGACCCCCAAGACTCAAGGAAGAGCTTGAATATCCTGCCTCTTTTTGGGCTTTTAGTCAGAGCTCTGCATATATTTTTTAAGAAAAGCATTGAAGAACTCAATCAAACCAGTATTCTTTCCATACAGGTGAGATTAGAGAGGTCTATTTGTGTCTGATCATAAAAAAGTGAATTGTTCTTTAGGGTTTTACCCGCCTCACCCATCATTCCCATGTTATTTTTCACCCTTATTGTATGGTTTCTTCCCCCTTTCCTGTTGGTTAAACTTTATGACTAGAAAATTTCCATGACTTTTGCCAACTTTTAATGAACTCCGTCGACTATTATCATGACTAACCTACATAGAATGCAAATAATGATTGTTCACCGTGGTTGTCAGGACGTGCAGAGAATTCTCTGTACTATCCACAAATGTTATTTTTCTGCATTCCTTGACTTTGACATATTCCTGGTCCAAATGTTTTTAGATAACAAGATATACATGCCAGTCTAGTCTAGGCATGTTCAAATATATAAAACAAGATGTTCAGCATTGTTTTCTATGAAGCATGAAGAATTCATATTTTATTTTCTTCCTGTTTTCTTTGTTTATATCACAGTACCTCTCCATTACTGGTCCGTAGCCATGTAGGGCTCCAGATCCCTTTTAAAAATCAGTCAACTTTCTGGAAAATGCCAAACATGAAAACCTGTTTAGCATGTGATTACAGGTGCACCACGGTTGGTTGTCGTCTACCCATCATGAGTATCTGTCCAACTGGGACCCCTGCGAAACTAGAAGAGTGTTATGAAACTTTCTTGACCATGACTCACAGTGAGAAATACATTTTGCTTTGGAACCTAGTACACACACGTTTTGACAACAAGGAAATACCTTTTATTCTCACTACTTCAGATACTCCGTGCTGTGTTCTTTTCATAAATATGCTGTGATGATGATGACTCACAAAATCAATTTTATGAGCCACATGTGGCTTGTAGACCGCAGATTAAGATGCTAGTCTACAACCAAAGTATTCTGTGACCATGGTGAACAAAGGTGATTTCTTTCTGGGAAAAGCTGGAAGGGTTAAAGTATTTATGCACTGCTCAGCCGCAATAAGCAAGAAGTAGATGAGCATTGGGCATGTGAACAGTTTTCTCTGAGGGTGCCTTGGAGCACGCATAAGGCCACTTTCTCAGAACTAGAAGAAAACAGTAGCAATCAGGAAAAGCTCTGTTCCCAAACCTGGAGCCGTTATTTGCAGTGTAAGGAAGATACCTTTTTTCAAGTTATGCTTAGGTGTGGATTTCAGTTTTGTCGTATATGGGTTAGTGATCTCAGACAAATTACTTCACTTCTCATAGCTTCAGTTTGTTCATCTATATTGATTAATAGGTATTACCTATCTTTCTGGCTATTATAGGAGTAACAGTCTCAGAAATGTAATATAAACTATAAATTATAATGTAATATAATGCTATGAAATACAGTAATTATTACAGGTAAGTCTGATACTTATTGAGCCCCTGCTATGTGTGAGACATGGCACCAAACAGTTATTTCATTTAGAAATAAAATGTGGGCCCAGCAGATGGTATAATGGTTATGTCACTGGACTCCCATGCAGTTGACCATGGTTCGAGTCCTGGACCTGGAGACTTAAACTCATGCCAGGTGCGTGTGTGTGTGCGCGCACACCCAAGATCCAGAAAGGAGAATGGGAGAGAGGGGATTGAGGCATGGCCATCCCTCTTGGGTGGTGGGGGGAGGCTGATTTCTCGCTTTCTGTCTCTCTGTAGCTCTGGTGAGTATACGTACCCTATAGCAAAATTCTCTCTTAAAAAAATAAAAAGAAATTGAATGTAATTCTTAAAGCACTAGGTCTGAAAGTAAACATTAATCGTTAATTTCCATCATCGTCACTTGAAACAGCTCCAAAGAATACAGACCTTCATTGGTCTCTAGATTGGCAATTATCTCTGGTTCAATTTTCTGAGGAGGATTCAGAATCTCTTAAGCATTTTTTCAAGCTTAAGAGTGATCTGATGTTTCCTCTCTTCAAGGCAGATCCTGTCCTTGGGGATCAACACTAATATTGAAGTAACCTTTCAAGGTTGTTTGGATCCCTGAGGCTATGTTACTGTTACAGTTGAAGCTAGGACCTGCACAGTATCTTAAGCAGGGTGAGCTGGTCTCTCACCTCATTTCCTCTGCCTGAATGTGATGTGAGTTCGTAATTCAGTTCTGAAGATATTAAGCTCCTGTGACTTGTCCAAGTTTAGTGGCTCCTGCGTGACAAAGCCATGGTAAAACGAAAGCTATTTCGCCCTTTCTCTGTTGTTCCAATTTTTGTAACATTTTTTTTTTATTTACTTTTTGTTGTGCTATAGGGTGCATGCGCTCGCCAGAAAGACAGAGAGAGACAGAGAGATAGAAAGTGAGAAATCACCCCCCAGGGGGATGTCCATGCCACAATCGCAATCCCTTCTCCTCCACTTTCCTCTCGGGATCTTGGGCACGCACACACACGTGCCCGGCGTGAGTTTAAGCCACCGGGCCTGGGACTTGAACCACGGTAGGCTACATGGGAGTTCAGCGACATAGCCATTACACTAACTGCTGGTCCCTTCATTTCCAATTTCTCACAGCCCTGTGAAACCCCAGTGTTATTCTGACCTCCACCTGAAGTTTTTGGGCTAAGGAAGTAGAAAGCTGGCATGGCAGGCAAGGTGACACCATGCGTGGGTATTGTGGTAAGGATCAGCTAGGTTTGTCCCACAGCATGAGAGTAGCATCCAGTCCTTTTTGGGGGGTAAAAGTGTCATTTTTTTAAAAAGGAGAGGGTCATACCCTATTGCAATTCTCTTGCCTCTGTCTCCCAAGGTGATGGGACCAAAGTATATGCCATCATATCTGACTCTTTTGGACAGGGTCTTGCTGTGTTGCCCAGGCAAACCTCAAGCTCTCAATCCTTGCTCCTCAGCCTTCCAAGGAGCTGGGATGACAGGCACACACCGCACACTTTCAAATGCAGGCCTCCATGTAGCCCCCGCCATTGGAGCAGCAGTGTCTTACAGTGTGCACCTCTGCAGCTGAGCTGAAAACAGCACTCTAATGATGAGTTTTAGGACCCTTTCTCTTTAATAATTGAAAACACCTTTTTTTTTCTTTACTTCATTATCGTCCCATAAAGAATTGGTTTGGATTCGAAGTTCATTCAGTCATCTATTAAACATGAGTTGCTTGCTTCCCCTGAGTCAGACACTGAAAGTGAGAAAAAAAACAGAGGCTAAAGAAAAAAAAAGAAAAGAAAAAACAGAGGCTGTTTTTACCTTCATCAAAGTTTCCCTCTTGTGGGATATGACTGGGTATCTTCAGGGCAGGACAGGCAATGAGAACACAAAGGCCCTTAGTTTTTGTACTTGAGTAAATTTTAATTTAAAGACTTCAGGAAAGAGTTGAATTCTAGCTTCATCTAACTTGTAATATATTCTTGTTTCCATAGTTGATGCAACTTCGTACACATGGTACCACTAAATTTAGGAACGGCTTAGCACCAATTACCTTATTAATTTCTTTATTCTTCTTTTTTTAGAGGTTTTTGCTGTAGGGCGCGTGCGCTCGCCAGACAGAGAGACAGAGAGATAGAAAGCGAGAAATCACCCCCCAGGGGGGATGGCCACGCCACAATCCCTCCTCCTCCATTCTCCTCTCGGGTTCTTGGGCATGCACGCACACGCGCCCGGCATGAGTTTTAAGTCACCGGGGTCTGGGACTTGAACCACGGTTGACTATGTGGGAGTCCAGCGACATAGCCATTACGCTAACTGCTGGTCCCCTTAATTTCTTTATTCTTGTAAATGGTTATCATTTTATCACCTTTTGCTCACCTTCTGGTCTATAAAATAATTTTTTGGTCTGTAACATAATTTTGGTTCCAGTACCTGAAAAGTGTTTCCGTTCTGGTTGTGTAGTTCCATTGCATACCCCATTCAGTATATATATATATATATACTCATATATATATAAATATATATCATATATATATATATATACTTTTTTTTTTTTAAAAAGGAGATTTTTGCTATAGGGTATGTGTGCTCGCTGGAGAGACAAAGACAGACAGAAAGCAAGAATCACTCCCCCAGGAGGGATGACCATGCCACAATCCCTTCTCCTCCAGTCTCTTCTCAGGATCTTGGGCACACATGCACATGTGCCCAGAGTGAGTTTTAAGCCACCAGGTCTGGGACTTGAACTGTGGTTGAGTACATGGGAGTCCAGTGACATAACCATTACACCATCTGCTGGTCCCTCAATGTCATATTTAATACTATTAAAAGCTATTCAAAATTTTTCAAAATAATCGTTGCTATATATATAGTCAGTATAACAATAGGAATTGTATGTTACAGTCATTTTCAGTTGTGATGTGAAAGCCTATAAATGCAGCGGGCATTGGCAAACTCATTCTTTATGCTTTCCTTCTAGGTTTCATCCCTTTCACCCTTTTCTGTGTACAGGTGATTTTAAAAAGCTTGCTTCCTTGTATGGTAGCGATAAGTTTGATTTGCCCTATGGGGTAAGAACATCAGGTCAGTAGTAATCTTCTTACGCTTTTCTGTTAAATTTGAACAGTGTTTGATAAGAACCCCATGTAATATAATTTTAAGGTCTTTTAAATTTTCTGCTCTCTAGTGATTCCGAGGGAGATGATTTGGGGATGGGGTAAAGGGAATTAAATTTTAAAATATAAACCCCCATTCCTTTTGAGGTGGTATAGAACCAAAGAATAAAGAAGGTAGATTTTTGCTGTTGATGAGAAATTGATTTTTATTTTTGTTCTGCCATTATGTCATTCATGCCTTCTTTATTCCAATTTGGAATGATCAGAATTAACCTGAGGGCTAACTACTTCCCTGCCTCCCCATTTTTCTTTTTTGCCTGTGAGTTTTATTTGGTTTATTTCATCAATAAGTTTTAGCTTTTTGATTGTTTAAATTAATCAATGGATATTTTATTAAGTTTTTTATTAAATTATATTATTAAGAGAGAGATTTGTACTTTTTTTTTTTTTTTTTTTTTTTTTGAGAGATTTTCACTGTAGGGCGTGTGCGCTTGCCAGACAGACAGAGAGAGACATAGAGACAGAAAGCAAGAAATCACCCCCCATGGGGGATGGTCACGCCGCAATCCCTTCTCCTCCATTCTCCTCTCGGGATCTCGGGCACGCATGCACACGCGCCCGGCGTGAGTTTTAAGCCACCGGGTCCGGGACGTGAACCGCAGTCGACTACGTGGGAGTCCAGCGACATAGCCATTACGCTAACTGCTGGTTCCCAAGATTTGTTCTTTTTGTACAAACATTTTATTTACTTTTCTTTTTAATTTTCAGATTAACTTCATATTTTATATGAAGTTCCCACCATGATGTATACTATATATATATTTTTTTTTTTTTAAACAGAAAACTTTACATTATTTTGTCTGTTAAGTGTTTCTTCCATTTGCCCCTCCTACCCAATCCCCTCCCTTACAGTCTCTGGTATCTACACTTATCTTCTCTACTATAATATCTTCAGATCTTTCCATTTCTTTCATAAAGTACAGATACTCGGTATATATTGAGTGGGGATATACAGTGTATATCTTTAAAAGTCTGGCTCACTTCACTCAACATTAAGTCTTCTATATTCATCCACTTTGAATCAAATGATAAGGTCTCCTTGTTTCTTATAGCTGAGCAATATTTCATAGTATATATGTGCCACAGTTTTTCAACCCAGTTACCAGTTTTTGGACACTTGGGTGGCTCTATGTTTTGTTTAATTATGAATAATGCTGCAATAAACACGGATGTGCAAGTATCTTTCCACCTGAGTGTTTTCCTATCCTTTGGGTAAATACCAAAGTTATCTTCTAACAATAAAACATCTTTTCTTCTGCTTGTTGATAATTGATTGGCCTTATATAGCTTTGAGTTCTAGACTTTTGAAAAGATCTTAAAACCCACCAAGTGACAGAACTGCGGTTTCATGAGTTAGATTTTGCTTATTCAACTGTTTGGGTTTTCATGTTTTTATTTATTTATTTTTGTACTTTAAAAATATTTTACAATGGATTCGATCATTTAATTGGTTTAGATTTCTTATTGATTTCTACTCTAATATCAGTTTCAGAATCATCTGATATTGCTAATTTCTAGATAACTTTAAAAAATTTATTTCTGAGGGCAAGGGGAAATAATCTTGACATGGCATCACCTTGCCATGATCCTCCCCGAAGCCTTCCAGCTGGCCAGGAATATGGGCACAGCCTTGGGCACTCTCTTTGTGTTAGGTCGACCTGGGATCTGAACCACAGTCCTCCTCACATGGCTGTAGCATCACACAGTGGTGTCTTACTGCCAGAGTCACTGCAACTGGGCCTGAGTTACTCTTTTGTAATCATTTTTAGATTATGCATCTTATTTTTTTCAGGTTTTTTATAAAGTGTACCTAGAGCATTTTCCCACTTTGCATTTACCTCTTGAGGAGGACTGACAAATTGTAGTTCTACCATTGGATTTTTACAGAATAAACCTAATGTGGCCACATCATTTGAAATATGTTGTGGAGGAGGGAACAAGGTAGCTTATTATTACTTAAGAAGTCATGATTATCATTTAATTCATGATACTCTATTTGTTTTCTAGCGGAATATTTTCGACTCGCTCTTTCAAAACTGCAGAGTTGTGACCTCTTCGATGAGTTTGACAAGTGAGTTTATTTTCATACATCTGTCTGATTTTAGCTTTAGCTAAGTTAATTCAAAATGTGTAGCCCAAGTGATGTAAAATGTATTTACTCATGGAAAATTCTACAGCATTTAGGCGTAACTGAAACTTCTGGTAGTTGCTTCTGTGATGCTTGCAATAAACAAACTGCAAAATTAGTTTAGAAGCTGCGTAATTGGTTAGCTTATATGTTTCCAGTGTCTTGAAGATGAGCAGTTCTGGTCCCAAGTCAGGACATTTTATACCACTTTCATCTTTTCCAAGTTGTTGTTTCTTGAGAATTAACTTCATATCCCCTGTTAATCAGTTCACAGCCTCCCTTCAGGGGCTGTGTCCCAAATCTAGCCATACAGATTCCACACCACTTGTGTGGAGTCTGTTTCATTGACTGAAAGAGGGGTGAATATTGGATTTTGGAAGTGGTTCTCTTCATTTCATTCAGAATTATATTTGAATTACAGTTTGCTTGGGTACACACACATTAACTGACTCCAAAGATAATTTAGCTTTTAGAAAATTTTGTTGTCAAGTTAACCCCAAGGAAATTGAATTGCCAAAAGTAGAGTTCTTGGCAGGTAGGCATAGTTTACAAATGTAGACTTATTCCACCACGTTTTAAGCTACCCCTTAGAATTTGGCCAATGGGTCAGTGTGATTAAATGGGTAGTCATCCACAGATGTCTGCTCTCCATTAAAAAAGGCAAATGGCAGAATTTTCTCCCTTGCCCATGAGAACAGAAGTGCTGATTTTTGGGTGCAGAACGTAGAAACAGTGGACGGAAGTGTGAAAATAGATACAGTTTACAGAAAGGAGCCAGGGAAGCAGTGTCAGAGTTTGCCTGGATTTAATCTCATTGTTATCTGTTGGGAATCCAGATTATTGAAGTATGGATTATGTATGCGTTGGTTCATTTCAGCTTGTCATAATTTATAATCTAAAACTATGCCATCAATCTAGTCCGTTTGAATTTTGATTACATATCAATAGTGATGATATTATTTCTGACAATTTTATATCGCCCTCCTTTGTAGATTATTATTTTGTGCAGACCTTTAGAACGCATGATTACATCATGTCTCTAACTTGGTAAATGGAGAAGCTGAGGTTAGGCAACATATAGTTTGCTAGAGCTGATAACTGCCGGAGCTAGGATGTGAAGCTAGATAGTTCTAACGCCAGTGCCTGGTTGTCCGAGTTACAGGCAGTGGTGTCTGGTCCTTAAATATTTGCCGCAAGTATCTGCAAATATTTATAAAGATTGCTAGCCCTTTGAATGTGAGCCACTGTCTGGATTCTTGATGGTATGTGACTAGAAGTTTTACTCTTGCTAGTTTTTAATCTTAAACTAAACTGTGCATAATTTAGTTGATTTCATAGCCCTTTCCTTGACAACTGTTCCTCCTTTTGATCCGGCTCTTTCCTCTCTTCTTGCTGACTTAGTTTTCCTATTTCCTGCCAGTTTCCCCCTTGGTCACTGAGTGTGCCCCCACTCCCATCATCAGCCTATGTCCATTTTTGAGCTGATCTACTGGGAGTGGGTGGTGAGGAAGGACTGGAAGTTGTGCTGACCGCACAGCAGTCCTTTAGTCTGAAGCTGTCAAGAGTCTGAAGTGGAGGACATGTATACTCAGAGAACCTTTACCTCCAGAGCGAATGGCAGATAACTCCACAGGATCCTCGCAGAATGACTGCAGGGCTGCAGTTTCCCAACGTCACAGGTGCTCTTTCAGCACTACTGAATTGCTTGTTTGACTTGTAAAAATTTATTCCCTAGAGACTTCAGACAATATTTTAAAAGTAGATAAGAATACGGGACCAGCAGTTAGCGTAATGGCTATGTCACTGGACTCCCATGTAGTTGACCGTGGTTTGAGTCCCAAACCTGGTGGCTTAAACTCACCCTGGGTGCATGTGCGTGCGTGCCCAAGATCCCAAGAGTAGAATGGAGGAGAAGGGATTGCAGCGTGGCCATCCCTCCTTGCTTTCTGTCTCTCTGTCTCTCTCTGTCTGTCTGGTAAGTGCACATGCCCTATAGCAAAAACCTCTCCAAAAAAAAAAATAGATAAGAATATATTTATGACTTCATTTCCTATTTGTTTAGCACTTTTTTATGATAGAGTATGTATGTGCACACACATGTGCAAGAGAAGGGGGATGTACCCTTAACAGAGTCTTGCCATGCCATGATCCCCCCTTTTTCAGCCCTGTAGTTCCTCAGGACCTTGGGTACTTGTGTGAAACTGGCCTGTTTCCAGGCCGACCTGCGTATCCATACCCACAGTCAGTCACGTGGCCTCTAGCACTGCAGTCCGGTTCACCAGTCTGCACCATGTGGCAGGGCCTGCATTGCACTTAATTTTTTTGGAGGTGTTCTACATTACATGTAATATATTTTACATGTATTTTAAGTAAGTCTCTCTATATTTGGCAGATGTGCACTGTACAACACAAGAGAGAAAAACAAGCTGGGCTCTGGCTCTGCCTGAGTAATATGTTTTATTTCTTTTCTTTTTTCTTTTTATTCCATGGTCAGAGGGCATGTGTGCTTGCCAGAAAGACAGTTTTATACACACACACACATATATATTATCAGTCTGAGTTATATATATATATATATATATATATATATATAGAGTGTGTGTGTGTGTGTGAGAGAGGGAGAGAGAGACCCCTCCCATGGGGCACGGTCATGCCACAGTGTGTCCCCCTCCATTTTCCCGTCCTGTTGGGATGTGGGGCATGCAGGCACACATGCCTAGCTTGATTGTTAAGCCGCTGGGGCTGGTATTAAACCATGAGAGATCTGATTCTCTTTACTACTAGGCTGTGGGACTGGCCCTACATTTTCTATAAACTCCAGAGAGGTAGAATTTTCTAAACTGCCTTAACGCTCCCTCTGAGTCAGCCTTGTTTGTGACCGTTTGTCTTTTTGGCTTAGGGGAAAGTGCCAAATCTTAGAAAATACATACTTGAGAACAAGCTTTGTTTCTCTGGCAGAGAATGTAGACCGGTGTTGGGGAGGGCGTCCTCCCTGCTCTCCTGGCCTGCGAGCTGGGAGCTGGCCCCACACGTCTGAGAAGAAAGGCTTGTGGGTGTGGGCTGGCTGGCTTGTTGTGGGTCAGTAGGTCAGAGAGGAGGGCTGAGGTGAAGAGTTGGGAGCAGCCCTTTTAGGGTCCCCTCCTCCTCTTTCTGCCCTCTCCATGGATACTTACGTAGCCACGGGCCTTGCTCTCTGCTCTTCCCTCCCTGCTTATGCTCTACAAGATGCTTGCCATATTTTCGAGACAGCAGCTAAGCACAAATATTTTCCCCACCTTCAGTTCTCCCTTATCCTCTTCATCCTTTGCAGAAAGGCTCACACATTTTGTTGTCGTTTAAAATGTGAATGCTTTAAGAGTCAACCAGATACAAGTTCTAGTTTTGTTCAGATCTCTTGTACAGCAAGCATAATGCCCTAGGTTAGAGTAGATTCCGCCGTGAACAGGGAAACTCAAAATATCAGTTGTGTTTACAAGACAGAGGTTTTTCTCTTTCTTACAGTTTTTGTGTAAATGAAGTTTGCAGGTTAGCGTTCCCGAGTGGCCCCGTGGTTCTGTGACCTCTGTTCTGCCTGTGCCTGTCCCTTAGTACATGGCTTCCCTCTCATGTTCCAATAGGATGATTGGAGTCCATCAGCCACATCGTCATTCCTGCCATTGGGGAGAAGGAAAGGGCAAAGGGCATGCGCCCCCCCCCTCCCCAACACACACTTTGTTTAAGAACATCTCCCAGGAATCACTTATAACACTTCATTATACTCAGTGATGAGCTGGAGCCAGTTGGTGCCACCCTGTGGGAGCCACATCTCTTCCCAACTCTATCTTCAGTGCCATGAGGTAGAAGCTACATTTTTCAGCCTATTGTCCAGCAAGGTGTGGCCTCATGATGGCTTAATCCTATCCAGTGAGATTTGATCCGTGGTTGCTAGTAAATTTTAATAACCTGTTCCTGAAGGAGGGGGAGGGACAGGCCCTGGTTTGTGGGGTTTGCTAGTTCCATGGTTTAAATACTCTGGCTATGGGGCCAGCGAATGACATAGTGATTAAGGTGCTGGACTCCCACATGGCCCACTACAGTTCGAGTCCCAGACCCGGTGGCTTGAAAATCACACTGGGCACATGGGCATGCATGCCCAAAATCCTGAGAGGAGAATGGAGGAGAAGGGATTGTGGCCATTCCCTGTGGGGGGTGATTTCTTTTTCTGTGTCTCTCTCTGCCTCTCTAGTGAGTACATGTGCCCTATAGCAAAAATCTCTCTCTTAAAAATATATAAATTATATATTCCACCACTACTCAATTCAATCTCCCGCCTCAATGGCCTTTATTCCAGGTGACTGTCTATCTTTGAAAACAATGAGGTCTCAGGACCAGCAGATAGCGTAATGATTATGTCGCTAGACTCGCACATAGTTGACTGCGGTTTGCGTCCCAGACCCAGTGGCTTAAAACCGATGTCGGCCACGAGTGCGTGCTTATCCAAGATCCTGAGAGGAGAATGGAGGAGAAGGGATGGTGGTGTGGTCATCCCCCTTGGGCATGATTTCTTGCTTTCTGTCTCTCTCTCTCTCCAGTGGGTGCACACGCCCTATAACAAAAATTTCTCTTCAAAAAAGAAAGAAAACAGTGAATTCTCTCTTAAGGGACAAAGGAAACGTAATTATTGAGGGACTAGTAGTCTTTATCAGAGGTCTCCATGTTTTCCATGGTCCCCATCTATTTCTGTAGCTGATCATTTCCAGATTGTGGAGTCAAGTATGTAACTGCTCTATAACAACCAAGCGCAGTGCGTCTTCTCTGTACACTGTCACTGTTGACCTCTCGTGGACTGAGGTTCCTCTCTTCACCCTCCAGAGCACAGCAAACTCATATTTAGCAAACCTCATTTTACTTAAGACAGAGGATAATTAAGGGAATTGTATCACCCAAAAAAGAATTTTAAAATA